TCGTAATAATGTACAAGTTCCGACAAGATTGAGAACAACTTTTATATGGTTGCATGTTTAAGAAACGATTTGTATATATATATTTTTTTTTGTCAATTTTTTTTTTAATGCACTGGACGGCCCTTTCAATATCGAATAATGATCTTCCAAGGGGGCCCTGTCTTTATAGTTCAAATGCATTTATAATGAAAAAAACATATTATATAAATTATAATACAATAGAAACAAGAATAAAGTACAAAAACATTCAAAACTAAGATTTAGAACAATGACACAGCATAACTCCCCAAAAAAGGTTTACAAAATATGACAATACTGTCATACAATATCAATATAAATATGAATCAAAAGACAGAAATCGTTTCTCAGAGGGCATTCACAATACTTATCTGTTCATATTACATCTTCAATGATAATAAAGATAATTTACTTGTACGTAAATCAGGCGATAGGGTACTCCACATGAGTGAACCTTAGTAGTGAAGGGATCTTGTAAAACAATCAGTTGTAGGTCTTGTGATTAAGAGTAGGGAATGTTCCGCATGTCTCGTATAAATGAACACTGGTACAAAATTCTCGGAATAATAATTGTTTTCAGCTCCGAAGGTATACATTTTGTTGTGTGTGGATTATATGCATATTATAGACAAAATGTGGTACTCCATTCTCCGACAAACCGATTGCCAAGAATTTTCAGATAACATAAAAAAAACATGAGGTGTAGAAATCTGCGTTAAATACAAGTCTTGCATAGTTGGGGTTTGAAATGTTTGAACTCTTGTTATGTTACATATTGCACCCGGCACCTCGCCACAGTATTTTCACAGTAGTTAATGTACGATTTACAAAAGAAAAGAGAAGAATATTATTATAGGTCATTAATAAAACACGTTTGGGACAAGAGATATCGATTGTGTCTGATAAAACCAATAGTTATTGGCAATGCAGTACATGATCTATAAATGCGACATTTCCAAAGTAGGGAAGACTTAATGATCAATACAAGTCCTGATTTATATTCGTGTTTCACTTGTTCGAGAAATGATGATATTACTGCTTCAAAGGCTGTAAAATCAGATCAATGCAGATTGTTACTAATATTCGATATTCTAGCAAGTAGTAACTGTTTGCTTCGGCAGTTTAGATGACAAGGGGGGGGGGGTGGGGGTATCAATGATGATGATTATTACAAGTGGAATCTCGAAGGATAATAACATTTGAAGTAGATTGTAAAGGTTTTTTTTTCTCCTTTAAATTGGAGTTCTGCTTTAGAATAGAAGTCAGTTGAAGAACTAGGTGTTCGATAAACAATAGCAATTAAACGAAATTGTGGATATTTAAATCTTCCTTCAAACCTTAACATTTCAAGGTTCTCATGTTTTAAATCATGTTTGCAGTTGTAAATCAAATTCTAATTTCTAGTTAATATAACAAGCAACAACACTACCTGATATATTGTTATCTTTTCTTACAAGATTGTAACTACTTAAATCAAGCTCAGAATCAAGGCTTCTTGCAAGTCAAGTTTATCAAAAGGATTGTTAAACAAATGGTTTATGTGGTTAAATTCCCATCTAGTGCTATGTATATGTAAGTGAGCTATTGTAAAAAAAAACCTTTCTATCAAAATCCAGATTTCCCGGCGAAACATTTTATTTTAGTTTGTTTAGTTTATCATTATCATAAAACAACAAGAATATCTACAGCATCATGTGAGTTAAAAGGCATATATTCCTTCACCATTAACCATACACTACTATCATCACGATCCGCGACATGAAGGTAGCCATGATTCATTGATAATGTCAAAAACGTTGTGATTGGATAAGTATCTCGAGTCAAGTGATACAAATGTATTTATGTTTTTCTCCGTTTTTCAAATAATGACATTATCACAATACGGTATTCCACAAGCAACAGTCAATTAGATCATTTGTTTCATCAACGCAACACTATCAATGAATCATGGCTACCTTCATGTCGCGGATCGTGATGATAGTAGTGTATGGTTAATGGTGAAGGAATATATGCCTTTTAACTCACATGATGCTGTAGATATTCTTGTTGTTTTATGATAATGATAAACTAAACAAACTAAAATAAAATGTTTCGCCGGGAAATCTGGATTTTGATAGAAAGGTTTTTTTTTACAATAGCTCACTTACATATACATAGCACTAGATGGGAATTTAACCACATAAACCATTTGTTTAACAATCCTTTTGATAAACTTGACTTGCAAGAAGCCTTGATTCTGAGCTTGATTTAAGTAGTTACAATCTTGTAAGAAAAGATAACAATATATCAGGTAGTGTTGTTGCTTGTTATATTAACTAGAAATTAGAATTTGATTTACAACTGCAAACATGATTTAAAACATGAGAACCTTGAAATGTTAAGGTTTGAAGGAAGATTTAAATATCCACAATTTCGTTTAATTGCTATTGTTTATCGAACACCTAGTTCTTCAACTGACTTCTATTCTAAAGCAGAACTCCAATTTAAAGGAGAAAAAAAAACCTTTACAATCTACTTCAAATGTTATTATCCTTCGAGATTCCACTTGTAATAATCATCATCATTGATACCCCCACCCCCCCCCCCCTTGTCATCTAAACTGCCGAAGCAAACAGTTACTACTTGCTAGAATATCGAATATTAGTAACAATCTGCATTGATCTGATTTTACAGCCTTTGAAGCAGTAATATCATCATTTCTCGAACAAGTGAAACACGAATATAAATCAGGACTTGTATTGATCATTAAGTCTTCCCTACTTTGGAAATGTCGCATTTATAGATCATGTACTGCATTGCCAATAACTATTGGTTTTATCAGACACAATCGATATCTCTTGTCCCAAACGTGTTTTATTAATGACCTATAATAATATTCTTCTCTTTTCTTTTGTAAATCGTACATTAACTACTGTGAAAATACTGTGGCGAGGTGCCGGGTGCAATATGTAACATAACAAGAGTTCAAACATTTCAAACCCCAACTATGCAAGACTTGTATTTAACGCAGATTTCTACACCTCATGTTTTTTTTATGTTATCTGAAAATTCTTGGCAATCGGTTTGTCGGAGAATGGAGTACCACATTTTGTCTATAATATGCATATAATCCACACACAACAAAATGTATACCTTCGGAGCTGAAAACAATTATTATTCCGAGAATTTTGTACCAGTGTTCATTTATACGAGACATGCGGAACATTCCCTACTCTTAATCACAAGACCTACAACTGATTGTTTTACAAGATCCCTTCACTACTAAGGTTCACTCATGTGGAGTACCCTATCGCCTGATTTACGTACAAGTAAATTATCTTTATTATCATTGAAGATGTAATATGAACAGATAAGTATTGTGAATGCCCTCTGAGAAACGATTTCTGTCTTTTGATTCATATTTATATTGATATTGTATGACAGTATTGTCATATTTTGTAAACCTTTTTTGGGGAGTTATGCTGTGTCATTGTTCTAAATCTTAGTTTTGAATGTTTTTGTACTTTATTCTTGTTTCTATTGTATTATAATTTATATAATATGTTTTTTTCATTATAAATGCATTTGAACTATAAAGACAGGGCCCCCTTGGAAGATCATTATTCGATATTGAAAGGGCCGTCCAGTGCATTAAAAAAAAAATTGACAAAAAAAAATATATATATACAAATCGTTTCTTAAACATGCAACCATATAAAAGTTGTTCTCAATCTTGTCGGAACTTGTACATTATTACGAGAGAAAAATTCATGTCGAGTCTGTATAGAAACAAGGAATAACGCCCTTGACGTAAAGTAAAAAAAAATTAAATAAAGTAAGAAAATGTACAGGTATTAATACTTTTTTGCATCAAGTCTTTAAATAGGGTTAAACATATCGATTCGTACAAAATGATCCAACAAATTATACAAAATGTTAAAGAAAAGAATAACGTAATGACAGAAAGTTTAAAAAAATAAAAATAAGAATAAAGAAAGTGTACAGACGTTGATGCTTTTTTGTACATCAAGTCTTCAAAGGGGTGGGGGGGGGGGGGAATGATCGAGTTTTGCAAAATAATCTTATAAAGAAAAAGAAATAACGTCTTGACAGAAAGTTAAATCAAAACAATTTAAAACAAATTTGTAAAAAAGCGTACAGGCGTTAACACTTTTTTTTTCTATCTAATCTTCAAAGTGGAAGGAAAAAAAAAGATTGGTTCGTGCAACAATGATCTTTAAAAAAAAAAAAAAAGTATAAAACTTATTTAAAAGAAAAAGAAATAATGTCTTGAGAGAATCAAAGTGGAAAAAAAAATGATCCGTTCGTGCAAAATGACCAACCACAAAAAAAATGAAATGTTAAAACAAATTAAAAAAGCGTACAGGCGTTAACATCTTTTTGCATGAAGTCTTCAAAGTGGAAAAAAAAAAAGATCGGTTCGTGCAAAATTATCTTTTAAAGAAAAAGTTTTAAAACTTTTTTAAAGATAAAGAAATAACATCTTGACAGAAATTTAAACAAAAAACAAAAAACAAATGTTAAAACAAATTAAAAAAGCGTACAGGCGTTAAGACTTTTTTGCATCAAGTCTTTAAAGTGGAAAAAAAGATCGGTTCGTGCAAACTTATCAGTAAAGAAAAAGTTATAAAACTTTTTTAAAGATAAAGAAATATCATCTTGACAGAAAGTTAACACACACACGCACACAAAAAAAAATGTTAATATAAATTAAGAAAAAAAGCGTACAGGCGTAAACACTTTTTTGTTTGCATCAAGTCTTCAAAGTGGAAACAAAAAAGATCGGTTCGTGCAAAATTATCTAATAAAGAAAATGTTATACACCTTTTTTAAAGAAAAAGAAATGACATCTTTAAAGAATCAAGTCTTCAAAGTGGACAAAAAAATGATCGGTTCGTGCAAAATGATCTACCAAAAAAAAAAAAAAAAATAAAAAAAAAAAAAAAAAATAATAATATTATGAAACTTTTAAAAGAAAAAAGAAAAAACGTAATGATAAAAAAGTTTTTTTGTTTAAAGAAAACAAAATAAGAAGGTGTAAAGGCGCTAATGCTCTTTGTACATCAAGTCAGGTGCTAATGCATTTGTAGGAATCGGGGTCATTGGAGGCGGGGCAGTCATCTCCCTTGCAAAGTTTGCAGCGGAAAATGCAGTCGTGTCTGAGTTTCTTGTCGTATCCTACCAAACACTCGTGGCAAAAATATGACTTGTTGTAGAAGGCGGCCATTGATGTAATGAGATCAAAGTGATTGTCATGAACATACAGATAAATGGTATGCTGCCTGTCTTCGGGGCCAGCATACGTAATGAAGTTTAAGTGCTCTTTTGAAACAACCACCACCCTGAAACCGGCCATGAATTCCGTCTTTTCGAAGAGTTTAATCTCTTCGATGCCACATTTGGTATAGTCTGGAAGTTTGGCCTGTTTATACAGCTCCATGGCATATTCCCTTTGCTGTTTGTAACCACGTTTGATCGACTCAAAATTAGGGTGTTTTTCAATCCGGGCAATGCCAGTTACGATAGCCCTTGGACAACACATGTTATCTTTATTCTTCATCCTGATGATGCATCTTTTTCTGGACAATGTCTCTTCGATGGTTAAGCACTTCACATTGGAACCACCACCATTTGGCATAGCCATGTGTAATATGTTGAAAGAGACTGTTTCGTCCAAGCTTACCTTATCATTCGATTGAATAGTATTCTCAAGTTTGGTTGCAAATGCTTCGTGATTCATTTGATCCCTCCTTACAAATGGCATACTAACGGGTCTATCTAATTGTGGGGAATTGAAAACAATCCTAACAAAATCTCTATCATTTACCCCCTCAACCATCTCTTCAATGATATTTTCAAACATCTCATTTACGCGTGGCATCATTTCTATCATGGGACCGTTATTTTCTATGGGTTGGAAAGAAACGGTGTAATCAGTTACATTAGCATTGTATTTGCGTACATGTTTTTGACTCACTTTGGTCACGTGATGAGTAGGGAGATTGGGTTCTCTTGCAGGCGGTGCATCTACAACACGTTTCTTAGATCCCCCAACATGAAAAGACGAGGGTCCGGCTACTGCTGCTGCTCTTGGTTGACTGTGGGAGGGTCCGGCTACTGATGGTGGTTGTCGGGAGGGTCCGGCCACTGCTCTTGGTTGACGGGAAGGTCCAGCCACTGCTGGTGGTTGTCGGGAGGGTCCGGCCACTGCTGATGCTGGATGGCGGGAGGGTCCAGCCACTGCTGTTGCTGCTGGTTGGCGGTTAGAGGGGCCAGGTACTGATGTTGCGTCACATGGCTTATTTGTATTGATGTCCATCTCCATTAAATGGTCATCGGAAATGCCTATGAGATAAAAAAAAAAAAAAAAAAAAAAAAAAAAAAAAAAAAAAAAAAAAAAAAAAAGATATATAAGAACGGATAAAAAGTTTCATTCAACCGCTACAATGTATTGTGTTGTCTTCATACATGAAAAAAAAAAAAATGAACATTCATCCAATGATCCTTTGCATTGATGTATATATAAATGAAGTATACACTAACCGTCATCAAAATTTGGTTGCCATGGAGTAGCTGCGTCATGTGGAAGACCTTGCTGGTGCTGCGTTGCTAGGGGGAGAGGGGGCTGTTGGTTCTCGACGAACACATCCACTAAATCATCATCGGTAATCCCTACAAGTATAATTGAATAATTTAATTAAATTTATAATTTGAACGTATACTTTATAATACTTTATAAATCTTTTTTTTTTTTTTGCTTACACGTGAGTTTATGTTTCAAATGGAGATATCAATCATTATTTAATTTGCATTGAACAAAAAAAAACACTCATTATGTCACATCGTTGCCTATTATAGATTTTCGATGCTTAATCTCCTTCTTGAATTCCAGATGCAAACCCGATATGGTAACACTACAAAATTATTCAATTATGAATATGAAAATAAATAAATAAATATGATTAGCACTTACCATCTTCCAAGTCCTGCAAACTCAAAAAGTAGGATGACCTTGCAAATACCAAAGCATGTTGTTCTGGTTCAAGGTCTTCATAATATTCCTCACGAAAACTCGATACTTCTTCCAGGCATGTACATGCCCGAAGCTTGTGCATTAAATCACATGTAGAAATCATGGTACATTATAGAATCTGGCCAGTATTACAACAAAAACAAAGCGATGTTGACTCAACGACAGTTAGATGTCATATGATACTTGCCCATAGGTTCACCATTTTCTCTCGTCCAATCACAAACAAGTACCAACTTTGGGTCACTTCCTTTCTAAAAAAATCCTCGCATTCTCATTGGTCGGTAACACACACATTCAACATACATGCCGGGTGGCCCATTGTTTGGTCATTTGGTCCTTGTCCCTCGTACCCTACACACGTCCATCCTCCACCTCTCCATGAATGAATGAATGATGTAAACAAAAGAACTTCCTCCAGGGGATGTACCCTCATTACGTAACTTCCGCCGGAAGGACACCCCAATTAACTCATTAACACTCCCCTATTGTTTACCGGAAGTCACCGGAAGGATTAACTAATTAACCGGAAGGATTAACTAATTAACCGGAAATGCCAATTAACACTTCCTATATAGGGGTACCTATCTTCTCATAACACGCAAATTATGAAGTTTTTGACATGAGGCCTTTAATCAAAATTTTAACTATGATGACGTCATCAAAATGAAAAATGATTATTACTGCGCTTGTAGAGAATTGTCTTAGCTACAACATATCGAAATTTTGAAGAAAAATGATCAATATTTACAGAGATACAATCAATTTTACATAAATATGCTGACGTCATAATATGCAAATTCGTATTTTGAGTTCCAAGGCCATTGTGATGATGTCACGATACACTTTATGGCCAAATGAGACATGAAATCATATTTCCGACTCATACTCTATCTAAATATGAAAAAAAATTGAGGATCCCGGTGCATTCCAAAGAGCTATAACGGATTTTGTATAGGCATGTTTTTGCCCATATATGCTATGTATTAAAAGAGCTCGCGCGCACTGACATTTATCTTGAATTTACGCTCATCTTGTTCATAATGGTCATAAAGAGATAAACATGGTATCAAATTCCTTGAAAAAATATGAGAAATATCATGAAAGAAAAAAAAATGGCGATTCTATGTTTTGTAATGGTGTTACGCGCGAAAACGCGCGCGCATGCTCGTACGCGCGATTTTTTATAAAATGCTTAAAATGTCCTGAAACGTATGCAAAATAAATTTGAGACGATTTTGAGCATTTAAACATTTTGCGCGCGCACTGACGCGCGGACGTACGCGCACGCGCGCGTTTTTTGACCTGAAATTGACCGGACGGATATTGACCTTGATCATGATAAATATGAATGAGAAATTACTTTTGGTTATGAAGATATGAACAAGAGTTGATTTTCAGAAAATTTCACAAAATGGCGCCTAGATGACGTCATCAGTCAAGGTCAAGGTTTTAAACCTTACCGTGTTTTCTCCATATGCCTATACATATGTGTGCCAAATTTCAAGTTATTTGATTTAGCCATTTTCAAGTTATCTTGTTAACAAAAAAGTGGTTAGAAATAAAATAAATAAATAATAATAAAGGCAATTTTAACAAAATTATAAGGTGGTCTGTATAGATACAGCCCACCTGAAAATCGATTTCAAATTTGATCTATTTTATATAAATTACATGTAGTATTTACAAAGAGTACACACTTTACAATGAACAGTTACTATTCTACTATGCATAATAATATTTTAAGACTCTATGGGTACATACGATAATATGCATACCATGCCATACTTGCTCTAAATAATGAGCTACCTCTCGCGCCCGTCGTCCACACTATAACTTAAGGTGACATAGTGCCGCACGTCTCACCAATGGGCAATTATTACCCCTCTTTTTTTCTTCGGTCTGGCCCTGAGGGGTAGAAAAATACCCCTCTACGCGTATACAGGCGCGTACAGCAGGATTTTGGGTCATTTTGAAAAAGTACCCCTTTTCTTGAAAATAGCCCCAAATGGACGTTTTTGAACCCCTTAATCCGGCACCGCGCGGACCGCGTCCAATTAACGCCCCCCCCCCTTTATACGCGTTTTCATGGTCACGCATGCTACAGTATATATTTGACTGAGACCCCCGGAATGATACCCGCTTTGTGCCCATTGCCGGGCTCATTGTACGATACCTGAGAAGGTAAAATGACTTGTTGATGAACGTGTGAAATGAATTAAAGGTGTCATTGTTCGTAGCGTCGTCACAATTTTGTTGTACTCTACAATAAAGCAGAGTTCTCATGGTTACGACTTTCTGTTGATGCAGGACTAATTGGCAACCCGAACCCTAATGTATTCAGATGTATATCTCATAACAAACCATGCACGTACCTTCAATAGGTTTCTCCCTTTGTAAATTTCAATAGGGCTTCTCGTGATAAGCCTTGCAGTCTTTCTGTTGCAACTGTGTACTGCCCTTTTGTTGAAATGTACTTGAACTCTTTATTATAATAGGATGCTGCATCCCATCTCTCTCTCTCTCTCTCTCTCTCTCTCCCTCTCCTCCTCCTTCCTGTTCTTTCACCTTTTATCCTTCTTTCTTGTAAATCCTATTTTCTTCATTTTTCTCTCTCTGTCCTTACTCTAAACTCGTTATCCCTCTCTTTTCATTCATGAATACTTATTTGATATTTTTACTTAAAGGGGACCGATAGCTTTACAAGCTCTGTTTCTGTTATTAATTCATGGGTTCCTACATTTTTTTCTCAAATTAAGATGCTATTAAGAGTGAATATATTTTCTGCAATTCTTTGATAATGTTGCACTAAAGAATTATGTACATCATTTAATATTTGCAACATTATTATTGTACCTATTTCTTATAATGCACTGCTTCGTTTTGTTTGTTTGTTTATGTAATATGAGAAAGTGGAAATAAATTTGAAACTATGAACCATTGAATCGTAGCGGAAAGCCCCAAAACTCTTAATTTCGGGGCCTTGGCGTAGACTGACTTTCTACTGTCATATTGACCTTACACCGCCCCATTATCGTCCACATTCGATTTAGGCATTGCCATTCCGGCCACTTCAGGTTAAGTCCTTGAGTACGGGCATGGCTGATGGTGGAGGATTCTGTTCAGGTGGTGGGACAGAATCGAGGAAGCTGTGTCAGGATACAAGGCGTTTGTGGGGTTGTAACTAGCCGTATTACAGGCAGGTGTTAGTGCGTCTTTGGTATATAACTTAAATCCCCACAACCCCCTCTCTGTCGCTTCCTTCCATTGCTAAGGGTTAGAGACATGATATATTAGCCCCTTGAAGGCAACCCTCTTACACCCCCTCCGCCCCCGTGAAACCCACACAGGCTACGCCATCTAAGAACTACTTGGACGACATTTTCGGTAATGTGTACTTGTTTCAACGACATACTGCATGGGGGGGGGGGGGGATGGGCCGAATGGTGCAGCGTGGTCGGACTGATTGGGGGGGGGGGGGGGTCTGGATGAGTGGTCGCGTACATTATTGGGGCACGCCTTTTTTCTTTATTTGTTCAGAAGTATATATGTTCAATAAATGTTTTCTACAAATATTTGGGGCCATGTGGCGTCCCCCCGCACTTACGCCACAGCCATGGGTGTGTCTCCTTTCCATTATTTTTCTTTCTAAGTATAATTTTGCCTATTGCTCATTTAATTTTCATTTTGTAATGAATAGCGACCCTCATCCCGTAATATGAATAGCGAGTTTTTTTGTACCGATTCTCTTCTCGTATTATGAAAAGCGCCCCTCTTCTCGTATTATGAATAGTGACTCTCTTCTCGTATTATGGATATCGACCCTCTTCTCGTATTATGAATAGCGACCCTCATTTCGCATTATGAATAGCGACCATCTTCTCGTATTATGAATAGCGACCCTCTTCTCCTGTTATGAATAGCGACCATCTCATTGCATTGTGAATAGCGACCCTCTCCTCGTATTATGAACAGCGACCGTGTACTCGTATCATGAAAATCGATTTACGCCACAGCCATGGGTGTGTCTCCTTTCCATTATTTTTCTTTCTAAGTATAATTTTGCCTATTGCTCATTTAATTTTCATTTTGTAATGAATAGCGACCCTCATCCCATAATATGAATAGCGAGTTTTTTTGTACCGATTCTCTTCTCGTATTATGAAAAGCGCCCCTCTTCTCGTATTATGAATAGTGACTCTCTTCTCGTATTATGGATATCGACCCTCTTCTCGTATTATGAATAGCGACCCTCATTTCGTATTATGAATAGCGACCATCTTCTCGTATTATGAATAGCGACCCTCTTCTCCTGTTATGAATAGCGACCATCTCATTGCATTGTGAATAGCGACCCTCTCCTCGTATTATGAACAGCGACCGTGTACTCGTATCATGAAAATCGATTTACGCCACAGCCATGGGTGTGTCTCCTTTCCATTATTTTTCTTTCTAAGTATAATTTTGCCTATTGCTCATTTAATTTTCATTTTGTAATGAATAGCGACCCTCATCCCATAATATGAATAGCGAGTTTTTTTGTACCGATTCTCTTCTCGTATTATGAAAAGCGCCCCTCTTCTCGTATTATGAATAGTGACTCTCTTCTCGTATTATGGATATCGACCCTCTTCTCGTATTATGAATAGCGACCCTCATTTCGTATTATGAATAGCGACCATCTTCTCGTATTATGAATAGCGACCCTCTTCTCCTGTTATGAATAGCGACCATCTCATTGCATTGTGAATAGCGACCCTCTCCTCGTATTATGAACAGCGACCGTGTACTCGTATCATGAAAATCGACATGAACAATGTTATCGAGTCACTTTAATGCACATTCTTCATAAGTTATTTCTTTGAAAGAAAAAAATTCGATTTAAAATTTGATCTATTTTATATAAAGTAAATGTAGTGTTTACAAAGAGTACACAATCTCAAATGAACAGTTACTATTCTACTATGCATAATAATATTTTAAGACTCTATAAGTGCATACGAAATGCATACCATGCCAAACTAGCTCTAAATAATAAGCTACCTCTCGCGGCCGTCGCCCACACTATAACTAAAGGTGACAGAGTGCCGCACGTCTCGCCAATGGGCAATTATTACCCCTTCTTTTTTCCTCGGTCTGGCCCTGAGGGGTAGAAAATACCCCTTTCCAAATGGACGTTTTTGAACCCCTTAATCCGGCACCGCGAGGAACGCGTCCAATTAAACCCCCTCCCCTTTATACGCGTTTTCATGGTCACGCATGGTTACAGTTTATATTTGACTGAGACCCCCGGAATGATACCCGCTTTGTGCCCATTGCCGGGCTCATTGTACGATACCTGAAAAGGTAAAATGACTTGTTGATGAACGTGTGAAATGAATTAAAGGTGTCATTGTTCGTAGCGTCGTCACAATTTTGTTGTACTCTACAATAAAGCAGAGTTCTTTTTGTTGATGCAGGACTTGGCAACCCGAACCCTAATGTATTCAGATGTATATCTCATAACAAACCATGCACGTACCTTCAATAGGTTTCTCCCTTTGTAAATTTCAATAGGACTTCTCGTGATAAGCCTGGCAGTCTTTCTGTTGCAA